CAAAAACGCAGCGGTAGAGTTTGACCCCCCCGAACCTCGGAATTATAGGAATAGGGAATAGGGATTATACATGGTTATATAGGGATATATAGGGGTGATGGGAAAGAAAATCGAAGTTTGGGTTTTGGGTTCAGGGTTACCTTCGGTGGACCCCCCCCTCATGAAACTGCCCATAAGGGATAAGCATTATATGAGGCTCCTCTTATATTCCTATTAGACCACTATTACAGGATGGGCAGTCCACCTAAGAAATACAAGGGGTTATATCGGGATGAGATATATACATTTAAAGATCTTTAAAGCATACTTGGGAAACGGCGGCTCAAATGGAAAAGAACATGGGAGATGAACACGCGTCTTGGATTCCCACATGTTCTGATGTCTTCAGTTGCCAAGACCTCCTCCTAGATGCTTACAGATTCCAGATGCATAAGGATTTCTGTTACCATGAGCTGCGAAAGGACACGGACATTGATGGTCTCGGTGGGCAGCGGCCTGAATTATAGGGTTTAGGATTTAGAGTTTAGGTCGGGTACGTACTGCCCCCACTCATTAACAGTTGGACAGTATCTATACTATACTTATATATAGCTCTTGATATGACCCCTATGATAGACTGTTAATGGGTGGGGGAAGGACCCAAGGTTTAGGGCATAAGTAAGTAAGACAACCTTTAGCCTGCTCTCATCTTCCAAAGCACTGCTTCTGAGGAACTGAGGGATTCATATGAGCTACAGTCTAAACTCCTCCACGGGGGTTAAAGGACTTATATGGGTAATTACTATAGCGGTTATGAAAGGGGATACTGAGAGTTTAGATTGTGGCTCATATTAACAAGAACTGAGGGGTTGGCTTCTGAAAACTAGGGAACACGATTTTGCCATAGATCTGGCAGGCGATGTAGTTTCGGGTTTCGGGTGGATCCCTATAACCATCCTAAAGTAATCCCAACAAATATGCATATCCGTATAAAACCTCGCCTCACTGATTCGATAACCCTGAGCCCTAAACCCTTAACCCCCTAAAGTATTGGTAAGGCCTGTGGAGAGCCGTCCATGGATGCACAGCAGGCCAATCTGGATGAAGCTTTGTACATGTTCTGATTTTAGGAATTGTAGAGGTCTAGATTATAGTATAGTACTTTCCCAAAATGTTGGGCCCCGAATATAGACCCAAACTAGTATAAATCCTTGTCATGGGGACCCCCATCCCCTGATTTTGGGAAACCCCCCCAAAGCCAACCCTTTTTGCAGATGGGCCATTCTCAAAATTATGGGCCCCTCTTGGTTACATATTAATTGTACTCCAGCACCTCATATTTAGGGATACCAAAATGGGACCTTAATTTTGGGATACCAAAATGGGACCTTAATTTTGGGAGCTACCCAGATATTCGCCTTCCAGCCTGGTCACGTCTTTGAGGACGCCGTCCCGAGACCTCATTACGTCCTACCAGGAGAGCCCGGAGTCAGTTTTGACCTTGGAATACGTATCTTTTCAGCTGGGTAGGCCCCTGAGATATTTAGTATTTTCTCTACTGGCTTTAATAAGGGACTCTATATACTAATATTTTTCAAAGGGTTTTAGGGGCCAACCCAGTCTGCCAGTCAGGGGGGACTATGGGAGATATATGGGGGTTACATAGTTATATGTATGGGTTTACTCGATAAGGAAGTTTCGAACTACGCTTTCATGCAGTCCTCTGGGTAGCCCTATTATGAGGAACTTCCTTGATGAAGTTGAACATGCAAAATGCGACATCATTCTCTATGTAGTTTTTCGGTATGCTGTCATTACAAACGCAACTTGCAACATCTATTCTTGTAATGTAGTGCGTAGAGTGGACTTAGGTATGAAGGAAGAGACAGGTCAGGAAAGGAAGCAGGGCTCCTTCAGCTCGACGCACTATGTGTACTAGGTTAGGAGGACCCCCCCACCCTGTAATAGTGGTATAATAGGAATATAAGAGGACCCTAATATAATCCTTATTATCACCTATAGCCACTATTACTGGGTGGGGGGTCCACCTAAGTACCAGGCATCGATTACTTGCCTGGTGTATGCAAATTGTGTTGCCCTGTCCTTCACGTAGATGTAGTTTTACATGCAAACATGTATATGTTTATATACGCCAAGATTCAGAAGTGTAGAAGCAGCTCCGCATGGAAGTTTGCCGCAGTAGCCCGCCTCTGCAGGTGAGCACGATCTTTGACAGGAATGCTAGAGTTCTCAATCCTTTGCAAGAATATGTTCTCGTTCGGGTTAGTGTAGTCTTAAGAATACAATCTAACATGCTTTGACTGCCAATAAAAGAGACTCAGGTGGGAATGCCTAGGCTGGTGCCGTCACAGGTCATCTCCTCAGTGGTTCCTTGCAATCTGCACTTTCGTGGGAAGCCTTTAGCCGAGACCATGCCTTGACTGGAGGTTGCTCCCGGACCTACCAAAATTAGCATCCCGAAGGCAAGCGGCGCCCTGTGTAAACCTAGTACGGTAAACGAATTGGAGGCATGGCAGCGGAATGTGATGTATATATGGGTAGCTCACCATGCCAGGATGTCGACGTAACCAGCGTGGAGGAGTTTTGGCAGCGAAGGCCCACCGAGAATATTTTAGATCAGTGCTGATCCCCTCGAAGCGAAGTTAGCGAACAATGATACCAAAGTCTACCAGCACGGTCAGGTCTCATTTGTTAGAACCGCATCCTATCTGTCTGCAGGGAGGGCCCTCGCGATGTCAGCCTGCACCACAGATGACCCAATACAGAGCGATTGCATGCTGAAATGTAAAGACCGGTGTTTTGCTCCTGTATGCCCTAGGTAGTTTCTTCTCCTTTGACCACTTGGCCCAAGACCAGGTGGGGCAGTCGGCCACTCTCGGCAGAATCCAATTCTGGGCAGTGTCTGAAGTGCTTGCGAAGGTGACCTCTGTGAGCTGAAGGGCGTGCCTTTGTAACGCTCCTACAGAGACACTCTTGTACCGTTCCACCGCCCTGGCATGTCTCCGATGCATTTCCTGTTTCTTCATGGGGCTGGCCTGCCTCCCTTGGCCCCCTGTATCTTGCTAGTTTTTGCAGTCCCGGAAGATCTGTGCGCCCCGGGCAGACCCGCCCTTCGATGAGCCGTGCACCAAGAACATGGCTTCTAGGTTTTCCCGCTTCTCCAGAACCTCTGACGATTGCTGACCTTTCCGATGATACAAGTTCTCTACTTTCCGATAATACTGATAGCTTCATGTGACAGGTTTGATGCTGAATTGCGGGCCCTGCAGATGCGATGCCGGTTTGTTTGGCGCAGACTGTGCAACGCCGGCAGGAGTGGCGTCAGTTAATGTCTGTTTAAGTGACAGTGAAGCTGCCTCACTGGGATGCCCGTGTACAGAGATATCGGTGATATCACTGAGTGCCTTGCCAATTGGCAGTGCTGGACTCACATTTTTGCTATGGAGGCCTTCTTAAGCTGCAACGACTCACAGGCTGCACGGAGACAAAAGCCGCAACATGCCCTTACTGACCTGCATCCTAGCTTCCCTTCTTTGCATAATAGTAATAATAGTAGAAATAGAAATAATAATAGTAGTAACAACAGTCATAATAGTAATAATAGGAATCATAGTAAAAATAGTAATGATAGTGAAATAGGAATAATGGGAATAGAAAAATATCCATAAAAGAAACAAGAATGTGAATAGTAATCGCAATAGTCATTAAAAGCAATGATAAGAATAGAAATAATACAAATAAATACTTGGCAGCTCTCTGGGCCTTGCGCATAATCCGCACAGGTAATGGGACCGGTCCTGGCCCGCTATGGCTTCTCCCCGGACAAGAAAGGAAGCACCGAGATCAGGCCACATGTCCTACAGTCTAGATTCATTGGGTTATGTGAGCTACGGACTACATTTAGGTTGGGGGGGACCTATAGGGGGAATATATCGGGCTTTAGGGGGGCCTATTAAGAGATATACTACATATTTAGTCCAGGGCTAATGTGATTTATGTGTTTTGCACTTAGAGCTTGCCTGCATCGAACTGAAGATGAACATTACAAGCTCATGCGATGTTTAATCCAAGCCCTCAACGTGCGCGAAGAAGGCCTTGCCTCACTCATGCAGACAGGTTTGAACTTGCATTTTGAAGCCACGACAGTGGCTGCTCTATAGGTATAGTTGCAGGGTCAGTCGGTGAGTGGCAGCTGGAGTAATTGTGCGGGCGGCCTTCAGGGAGCTTGTTCCATACTGACTGGACAGCTCAGGGAGCATAAGCTGAGCAGGGCCAGATTCGCATCGTATGTTTTGTGACATCAACCCTGGTTTGGCTGCAGGGCAGTCATTGCTGATCTAGCAAACCAGCACAAAGAGATTCGGCTCATGAACACGGAGATCCAGAAGCCCCTGACTGAGCTGCAAAGTGCTTGGTTGGCCTTTGTGGATGTTGGGCTACATACTTTCACTCAGGCTTGTGATCAGTAATTTCCCGGATCTCAAGGGCGACAAGGCAAGTCAAGATCAGATCGTAGTCTTGACAGCCTTTTCATGAGCTTGTAAGCTACACGCCATATCTGTAGCAGAGAATGGTGCAGGTTTCCGGCCAGCAGCGTACGACACCCGTCTCTACAGCCCCTCCGTCCGCTGATGAAGAAGAGGTGGGGTTCGAGACATCTTTAAGCACCGGGTAGGTAGCACAGGGCCTCTTGTTGCGAATGCCTTGTCCTTCAGGTTGTGGGGAGGAATTTCATAAGCTTGTCGTTTCAAGGCCATGTGTCACAGTGCGGGGCAGTGTGAAACCTGGCATAACCTGGCAACCTGCTTCTCTGGCAGCGTATGACGTAACACGGTCAGCCATGGCGTCGGAGGATCCCTCGGCGGAATCGCCAGTAAGCGATGGCGTCAGGCACGCTGCTGGAGATGGAGACTTACCTGGGGCAAGGTGGATGTAAACACTAAAACACCCTAAGCGGCACTGTTAGCACACAGAACGTGGCGCTTCAATGTAAAAACTGTGTCTTAGATGGAACTAAATCTGTTCAAAGACAGCTGGGCTGTCTGCGGTCCTGATGTCTGTCCTGCCATGCAACACAGTTGACATGTGTTCTGTACTGGCCGTGGCATGCTGAGTCCTCCGCAGCTGCTTTTGCCCTGCAGCTGAGTTACTGTTACTCAGTACTAGCGCTCATCGGGCAGCTCGGTCAATACCAATATTTGTTCGATATTTGGTGGCGTGGTATTGCAGATCATTGCAAGAGGTTCGTCGGCGGTTTGACTGGCCCTCGTCGTCTTCTACAATCATCATTCGCTCCTAGACCTCACACTCATACACACTGGGTGTGCCATGCGCTGCAATGCAGCTCCGTTTGGTCACTCAATCTATGACCCCTTACACTGACCAGCAGCTATCAGCTTTAAAATGATGTTCTTCTATATCAACGAAGTGCGCAGTCCGATCTGGACAACACTTTCGCGCTGCAAACACCACATGGTCTACTCGCTTCTGCTATGGCTTCTGACCGTCAGTGCGGAGGAGGCAGTTTCAGATCTGAGGTTGTCTCAAAGTGGGGGTATTTTAAAGGAAGATATATATGTGGGTTACATAACGGGGTTATGGCCCGCCCTTATCAACAATCAACCTTCAGAAACTCCCATCTCATTGCAGCTCATCCAAAGATTGCTACACGGAGCTAATGACTTTCCACTCATGCTGCCCTAGCCTGTTTCCCAAACCTCCCATAACAGCAACCCACACCAAAAACTTTCGTGGTATTATGTTTTGTCACCTGGCATCATGGCCATGCATCGACAGGCATACATGCGGGACTGCCACAGGCTTATGGAGAGTCAACTCAGACGCTGACCGCGAAATCAGGTTTCCTTCTCTCAAAGAGCCAACGGCTCTTCCTCGGGGTTGACGTTTTATGGGCTTCTCTTGTGATCTTTACGGCACTTGGGAGAGCTGAAGTGCTTTCTGAAATTAATTATTGAATTGTGGGGGGCAGGACTAAGAGTCACTCAAGTACAGGAAGAGTGGATTCAGTGGGGAACCTGAAGTGCAAGCATCCCTATTTTGGTTTCTTCCAGAAGCCTGTACTTGTTGTTGTTCGTGTAAGGCCACACAAGGCTTTTTCTGAAGTTTCAGGCGCGGTGATTGCAAGCCCATCGTCCTCTGCAAATGAACGCATTCGGGCCCAGTCCGCATGCACGATCGAGCTCCAGCATATTTCGGCGCTCGATGTGAGAGGACCCAGTATGGCCGCAAGGCCGGAAAAGATTAACAGGTCATCACTTTAACTCAGAAGCCCCTCCATGTAGACTCCAGAACATGAGATCCTTCTTCCAGATACCCTTGATTGAATTCAAGCAAGGGGCCATAGTTGCCTATAGTCCCCGTTAAGTAGATAGAATATGGCTTTGGGTTTATTATATGAAGATCCCCATATACCCCATATTCTATCTACTTTAAGGTGGACTCTATACTTTGCGCACTCCCCCATCAAATCAGTGAGTTTAAGCTAAGGAGACAGCCACATCAAGCAGCCGGCATGCCAGCAGAAGGTGGCAGGCACGAACCCTCTTACAAAATCTAAGTTTTCTGCGACTTGTAGTTTCCTGAAATCAGAGGTCCTTTTATGGGGGCACTTGTGATAACGACTTTCGTATTGTGGGAACTATGTTGGGATTCCCCCCTTCTATTTGGAAATATTATCAGTACGCACATTCGTGGTACACGTTCAGTGTTGGGTTCTCACGCATGGGCAAGCAACAAAGTGGAACAGAATCAGACAGCAGGACCTGAACAGATTGGAGGAAATGTCACAGACATTGCAGGACAGAACACGTTTCGTGAAACAGACGCGGCGGAATGGAATGGATGAAGCGGACAGAAGATGGCGAATGAAAGGATCATAACAGGAATTTGTGGTGTAGCTAGCAAGCCGAAGGTCTTTTTTGTGATGCACGTTTGTACATGTCTACAGCCTCTTCAACAACTTGCTGTTGGGTTATATACGTAACTGAGTTCGCCTTCCCTGCCTCGAGGGTCAAGTATCATGAATAAAAACACACAGCATCAACCTGAGCAACTGCGTTTAGGGTGTCAATCTGGGAAGCCGTGCATGAGAACCCTGCCTGCAACAGACCTTGAGCTGTCTCTCACAGCCATCCTTCAGGCGTCTACTGCTCCCGGATGCTGGAGGCAAAGGGGACCATGAAATTTTTCTGGGGTCTCACCCGTCTCAATCTGCATTCATTGTTGTAGGGGGGCCCCTGAATGAGACCCTACGAAATTGGGAGGAATCACACCCAGGTCCTCCATCATTGTTCAAGAATGGTGGCTGCAAAAAAAAACACGCAAGATGTGGTGCTCTCTTCGTAAGGAGCCTTGAGCCCAAGCCTTCCAAAAGACGCACCGTCTGGTAGTTTTTCTAAATTACCACTGCGGGATCTTAACATGGATACCGCATCCATTTGTACTCCTCCCTATATCTATCCATCCATGGCTAATATTTTGAAACGCCCCAGAGCAACAATACAACCCACATAACTCAACCCCACTTGATGCTCGATAGTGACGCCTGAGCCGGTGAGGTGGAGCGCCCACACCCTGTGGCCCGGAGCTGCCCGCTGGACCCGCAGAGCCTGGCGTCGCCCAATCACGCTACATGACTGATGCAGGGGCTCCTCAGAATAATCCGTATGATTCTAAATAGGCATCCTATAGTATCCAGAATATTATCCATATGATCCGCATGTATCCCTGGGGTCCATGCGTACCCTTACTTGCTTTGAGAAACTCCAACGCAGGAGTTCCTCATAGCAACGCCTGTTATTCTCTTCCTAAAAGGGCCCTGTATTCTTAGATCCATGAAGTGTGCGTGGATGATCACCAAGTAGCCGATATGTAGCTGCCTTTATGAGAAGCAGTGGAAGTATGTGATGAACTCTTTTTGGTGCTTGGGCGCATTGTCTTGCTGTCAATAAAGAAATGCTAGAGGGCAGTGGCATGGCTTGCCGAGGCTATACAAGGTCACTTGCCACCGGCCGACGGCACCCTGCAATATCGCAACTCGCAACACTTTGCCTTGGGTGTACTGGTCTTGGCAGCCTACCAGTCGCAGCTTCTGCTCATCCAGCGGCTAGTGAACTCCTTGTGGAAGGCAGCTCCTCCGTTCTTGCGGCCCGGCTGCAACAAAAGGACATCGGATGTGCCATGCAAGAGCAGGATTGAATGCAATGATAAGGCTACGGGCAAACAGACTGCATCAGTGCGTATCAGTGCGCAATTTGGCGTTGCATCCCTGGATGATGGCTGAGTTCCCATACCTTTCTGATCCACGTTGACCTGAAGTCTGAGCCCCTGCTGCGAGAGCTCCAGAGTTGGGCGGCTGCGGACTCCGAGCTCGCAAACGTTCATGTGCCTCTGATGGCACTTTTACACTGGTCTGGGTTCGCTGGCGCTGATGACATGCAAGAATTCCATTGCGCAGTCTGTAGAACTGCAGAATCCTGCAACCCAACTGCTTCATTGCAGGGTGCTGTGTCCCTGCTGTGAAGACTGACGAGCCCTCACTCTGCACCCTGAGACCCGCTCTAAGTTGGTTTGAACATCATGCCGAAAGCACTGGCTCAGGTGGAGTCTGCGGTGTCTGTGCGCCGTTCGGGGGCATCGTTGCTGGCCGCGGAGCTGTACGGATTGAGGAGGCGCCGAGGATTGCTGGGTGGGTGGTTGTGAAGATTCCGGGCATTTTTTGAGATCGTTGCTAGGCTGCACCCTGCATGATTGGAGAGCTGATTGTGAAAGCTGTCCACGTGGATTTGGATTGGACTGTTGGGGATGTTGGCCGAGTCAGGTGGTTGGAAAGGGATGTTTGAGAGCAGGGCAGGGGCAAGTGAGGCCTGGACCAGGGCCTCAGTCAGGAACGGACAGTGAGCCGAGTCAGTAGCAAGAGTCCAGAGCAGTACAGACCAAACAAGGCTGGGAACAGGCTCAGAGCGGCAGGACTAACAGCTCGAGCTTGCACACCCCAAACCCTGAGCCACATGGTGCGGAGGGTTTAGGGTTTAGGGTTTAGTGTTGCCTACACTAGAAGCCTCTGAACAGAACTCCTGCTGTTCCTGATTCGCCCCCTGTTCATTCTCGACTCACCCCCTGTTCTTGACTCGACCCCTCATTCTTTCTGACGAATCCTCCTGCCTGTTCCCGACTCGTCCCCTCTTGCTCCTGACTTGTGCGCCTGACTCTCCGGACTGTAGGATGCGGAGTCTGAGACGCAGGGGCAGTTCAGCTCTGTCCACCATTGAGTGCAGTCTCTCCTCTCTTCCGGGGGATTGTGTGTTTAGTGCTTTGCATCATCTTGCATCCCTTCAGCCAGATGCACCAAACCACACCACACCCTGAGGCTGCTGACTCTGTCCAAGACATGGCGCTATTTCCTGTTCCTAGGCGGCTTTGGACAGCTAGCAAAGTGGGCACTTCGAAGTGGGCACTTCGAATCAGGCTGCTTACTATTCTGGCGTATCAATTTGGAAACGCTTCTTCAAAGTTCACAACAGCCAGATTCTTCACTCGGAACGCAGGTTGCCTATTTCTGTAGTTGGGCATCGTCCAAAAACCCCTAAAAGGATATAAACCGACCATGGCTGGCTTAGAAGGCCTTCCGCGAAAGGTCGCGATGGTGCGCGCGAAAGGAACTTTGGATTTCGCGAAAGAAGCATCGTAAGCTATATAGTTCCTTACATACTTTCAAATATATATCCAGCAATGCTCAAAGGGTTGCAAGTCTTTCTGAGGCACAGGATCATTCTCAGAATTCTTACCCGAAAATCCGCCAAAGATCCGCGAAAGGTCGTGTAAGCCGAGCAAGCCCCCAGCATTGCAAGCCATGGGAGACGACATAGCTTCTGCGATTCGGCTTTGGAGTTAAGGGCTTGGACCCCCACTTCACCT